TTGGATCAACTCGATAGTTTGTTATGTGTAGAATTTGCTAAGATTATGCAGGGAAAGTTTGAAATGTCTATGATGGGAGAATTAACATTCTTCCTTGGACTTCAAATCAAGCAACTTAAAGATGGCACTTTCATCTCTCAAACTAAATACTGCAAAGAGATCCTAAAAAATTTGGTATGGACACCTCAAAGGAAGCTAACACACCCATGGGAACTTCATGCTATTTAGACAAGGATGAATCAGGTTTGGAAGTAAATCAAACTATGTATAGAGGTATGATAGGATCACTATTATACTTAACTGCTAGTAGACTCGATATTATGCATTCTGTCTGTGTGTGTGCTAGATTTCGGGCTTGTCCTAAAGAATCTCATTTATTTGCAGGTAAAACATATTTTAAAATACTTAAAAGGAACTACTGGATTTGGCTTGTGGTATCCGTCTCGATGCTTGTATTAGTTTATTAGGATATTCTGATGTCTGATTATGGTGGATGTAAAATTGATAGGAAAAGCACTAGTGGGACATGTCATTTGTTAGGTTCATCCTTAATATCATAGCATTCTAAGAAACAAGCATGTGTAGCTTTATCTACCATCAAGTTTGAATATATTGGTACTGGTAGTTGTTGTGCTCAAATTCCGTGGATGAAACAACAATTAGAGGATTATAGCATATATTTAAATGACATTCCATTAATGTGTGATAATACGAGTGCAATCAACTTAACTAAAAATCCAAGTAATGCACTCTAGGACTAAACATATTGAGATTAGACATCACTTTTTAAGAGATAATATCAAGAAAGGAAACTGTAAGATAGAGTATGTAGACACTAAACGTCAATTAGCAGATATATTTACTAAGCCTCCACCCAAGGATAGATTCTATGATCTTCGAAGAGACTTAGGGATACTAAAAATAGCTTAAAATCTGCTTAATTTGATCTGTTTCGGATGATTGTTATGTTAAAATTCGTGGTGTAGCATGTTCATAGGTTATTATGCATATAAATCTCAAAAACTTGATATAGCCTCCGGAATAATCGATTATCGGAAGTGATAATCGATTATTTTTTCTCAAAACATCCAAAACAGGGTATTCTTCTTCGGAATAATCGATTATTTCGTGAAATAATCGATTAAATGTCTCCGATAATCGATTATTTGCTTGAAATAATCGATTAAAGTCTGTCAGATATTGAAATAATCGATTATCTTGAAATATAATCGATTAAATGCGACCAGCTTTGCCTCCTAGCCGTTGCCAACGGATATTTTGCCATGGAATCTCTTCTATATGACCGTTGGAAGTGTTTTCTCTATAAATAGAGACATCTAGGTCAATTATACTCACTTCTAACTCTTGTAATCAAGTTTTCTTGAAATCTATACTCTCTTTGCTTCATTATTTCCTCACTTGTCTCCAAATCTTCTTCATACTTCATCTATTCTTTCAAATGGCCTCATCCTCTCGCCCTAAGATTCCTACAAGAAGAAGATCTCGCATCTTCCTCTCATTCCCGTCCTAATTCTGTAGAAGGATGGATTTCGATGCGAGATAGCCAACAAGAGTTTCTAACCTACTTGGAAAGAAAAAGCTATTATTTCTCCCAAATTTCTTATAGGTGAGCAATTCATTCGTAGGGGTTTCAATTTTCCTAATCTTCTTGAAATTCAAGGAGTTCTCCCGTTTATCCAAATGCAAGGTACATACTATCCTGACTTAGTTAGGGTATTCTATTCTAGATTCAAGTTTAGGGATCAAATTGCTACATCCCGTGTAAAAGGGGTTTCCATAATTCTAGGTGATGATATTTGGGAAAATGTTGCTCACTTCCCCATTAGAGAAGATGCTATTAACGTTTATGGTGAGCTAGATGACTTTGACGAGTTCTTAGCTTATCGATCTTTTCTCGCGGAATCCTCTCCGGAGGTTGGACGTATTCTTCATGCTTGGACCTTTAAAGAAGGAAGAACGCATGCTTCTACATTTACTTGTATGGATCTTATGTCCCCAGGCTACGAATCATGCCCAATGCTCATCCATTGATCTTCGAATTATTCATGCCATAATGAATAATGAACCTTTAGATTGAGGTGTTCTTGTCAAAATGACCATGCTTAAAGCAAAACGTCATCACACCTTCAAAATTCCATATGCACTTCTTGTATCCCGTATTCTTGAATATAAAGGAGTGAATGTTGAAGGTGAGCAAGCAGTTAGAACAAACAACTTAAACCGCATGTTGGACAGACACATTGACTCAACTTCAAATGGTGCGTGTCAATGACATCTATGTTCACAAAGATGACGTTCAAAATCAAAGTGATGCAAATAAAGACTCGATGAAGATATGCCTCCAGCTGATAATTTTCCCTCTAACCAAATCCAAAGTGTTGGAACATCCTCTTCTCATCAAGAAACAAGACAATCCATGGAAGATATGCTTTCCGACATGAATCAAAGAATGCAATCATTCTTCAATCTTTCTGGAGTACGCCATGATGAAATTATTAGTCGCATATCCGATGTAGATGATAGAGTGGGTAGATTAGAAAATAGATTTGATACTCACTTTAATGATGAGGATAGTGAAGAATTTTAAAATCTGTTATGTATTTTCTTTTGTTATTGTCTTGCTATTGTAATGGATAAATGATTATGAAATAAAATTTGATGTTTCTTTTATGCTATGATTGAGGGGGAGCTTTCTCTAACTTATGCATATTTTGAGGGGGAGCTCTTATTATTGATGTTGCAGAGTTCTTTTTGATTATAATCAAAATAGGGGAGAAAAATTTAAAGCCTATGGTTCAATATTAAATTTTATCTGGTATGTTTAATGTGTTTCTTAGTATGACGAGATAAAACAGGTTATTACAAGGGCTTTAAAAAGATAATTTTGATCATCATCAAAAAGGGGAGATTGTTGAACATTCAAGGACTTGATGTTGCAAATAATGATCATGAAGAATGTTGATTTTGATGATGATCCAAGAGCTTAAAGACTTAGAGTATTGAAGATTGAAGATTGATGATTTCTGTATTGTAATAACTCTGTTTTAGTTTGATTGAGTCCGTAATTATAGAGTCTAAGATAGCCTGTACATAGTCCGTAACTTAGAAGCTTCAAAATGCTCAAATTTATCATGCAGGCTCGGCTTTAATCGATTATATAGGAAATAATCGATTAAAACAGATGAGAAAACCATTTTCAAGCATATACTCACCGTTTTAATCGATTAAAACATCAAAATAATCGATTAAAAGGTCAAATAATCGATTATTTCACCAAATAATCGATTAAACCGAGAGGATTGGGTTCTGCGTATTTGGCTCTGTTTTAATCGATTAAAACTCCATTTAATCGATTATTTCAATCTGTTTTTGTTTTTAAATTTCAAATTAACCCTATTTTCGAAAATCCAATTACCAAGAACCCTAGTTTCGAAATCCCCAATTCCTTAACCCTAATTTCCCTACTTAAACTCTGCTTTGGCACTCGAAAAAAGAACAACTCTTTCCATACAAAAGTTAAGTGCTCGTGAGTGCCAGAGAACTGTTTGTTGCAAGGAAAGAGGGCTTTTGGAAACCTGGTGTGAGGCTAGAAGCGATAAGAATCACTAAGTGGAGTTCTTAGTGGATTGTGTGTTGTGTCGTCTCTAGGGAAAGTCTGTTCTTCATCTCTTGTGGATTTCAAGAGAGGTGTTGTCTTTACTTTATCTCTTTGATTTGTAATCTGTTTATAACAATTTGTTCTTAGTGACAGCGTTAATCCTCTTTTGAGTGATTAGCAACTGGACGTAGGGTCTTTTGATCCGAACCAGTATAAACCTACTGTGTAATCTTCTCTACTCTTCTCTATTTACATTTACGCAGTTTTTAATCGGTAAAATTTTGGGAAAATTTTGAAAACCTAATTTTTATTAAGAAACCAATTCACCCCCCCTCTTGATTTTTGTCCGACCACGCGAACATTCCGCTGCGCGATTCTAACAGTTCAAACTCAGATATTACTTCAAAGAATTGAATCGAACACCATTGGTAGTAGTAACTTATTCATTTTTACTTGCTATTGGATAACATTTACCATTTTCATTAAATATAGATTTATTCTTAAAGCATCCTTGTACATTTTTTTAAGCCCCACACAACTTTATGTTTTATACTCCCCGTTATAGACACAAAATTCAAGCATTCTTTTAGCAAAGTTCTTCAAATTCAACAAACTAAATAAAGTTTATAAGAAAAGGAAAATTAACTTTATACGATTGTCTTATAAGGCTGAGGTACATCGTTAGTTACATAAAACATTGCAAATAAATATGGTGTAATACATTCTATGCTTTTCAGTCTTTGATCTCTAGTTGGTTACTATAACTTGTTTCTAAAGAATTTTATACATGTAGAATATACATGGGTAGTAATGGCACACTCGTTAATTACATTAAACTCGGTCTATTAAGTGGTCCAAAAATTACATTTTAAAATTCAGGAAAGGCAGTAAGAAAAAAAAAAAAAAGCTTCTATCTTTCGTTTTTGTAACAATTTCTTTTGGCATATGATAACCAATGGAGAAGGGTAAATAAATAGTTTACCGCAATTTATTTGCATTAAAAGAAAAACCAGTTATATGAATGGAACAAACATCTACACAAAATTACTTTTTGTGAACGATAACGCCCGAAACCAAATATATTTATTAAAAGAAAAACCATTTAAACGAATGGAACTAACATCCATAATAATAAAAAAAAAACACTAAATTGTTAGATAGCGAATTTTTCAAGTGACTCGATCCAGCAACTCATTTATGATCAGAGAAGCATACTTGAAGAGAATTCCCAGTAGTAATGAATGGATGAATCATGAATTAAGAATGTGTTCTACTTTAACGATGGCTAATACTATTTGCCATTCTATTCACAAAAGTACAGAAAAAGGGAAGAGATCAGGGAGGGAGAAACTAATTCTCTGAAGCTGAGTTTGCTCCAGCATTAGCATGTTGCAGACCTGCAAAAGAATTTCTGTTGCTGGCCGTGGCATTGAATGTGGCATGACCTTGCTTTGTCTCTCAACTCTTGAAATGCTCTCATTGTATCCACATCAAAACCTCCAGCAAACTGCCACACATAACACCTCATTATTTTAATTAACAGGCGCAACTTTGTACCATTGTCGACAAATAAAATTACCTGATGAACTCGGAATGCAAACCTAACTCCTTGGACAATAAGCTCTTCTTCTTCAGGCCCACCACCAACTGTCTCAAGCTCAGCAGAGACTCTCTTCATGTACTTCATGGCCAATTTTACAGATGCCAGCTTGATCTGCCACAATTTAACATTGCAGGTACAATAAATGAAGGGAGCTAACCAACATTCTTCACTTTGTAGTAAGAAAATTAGTATACCAATCCACTATGATGCAACGCTATTCGTTCCTGAATACAAGTTGCACATGCATGTGACATTTATTTGTATGCAGGCAAGCTTATCTATCATGTGGGTCTTTTATTTCCTTCTTCATATAATTATTTAAAACATAAAGATTGCAGGACCCTTCTTGCAAGTTTTCTATAGACAAAGAGAACTTCCCTATTAAGATGAAGCAGACAAACAAATAGACTGTGGGGATCAAGGATTTCCATGTGCAGACTGCTTGGACATTTCCCTATCAGCTAGCTACTTTGTCTTCATGCTATGTGGTAAACTTACAAAGGCTAACATTTTAAAAGAATTTAGTTACATGCCATTAGAACTTATAAATGGAGGGGGCTATACGAGCAACACATCCACTATAGTTATTCAACGAGGAATGGGCCAACACAACTCTAGACCATGAAAGATTATGAACCATTTTTTATTAACCTATTTTTACTATATTAACCTACAACTGAAGCTATATCTGGTGCTCGCTTACAGCTACTATCAAGCATAATGTGAAATTTCTTTATAAATAGAACTTCCATGGAAATTACCTGGCTCACATAACCACTGTCAAGCATCCAATCAACGGGTATTTGGAAGACTTTGTATCTCTTTGTTGCCGATTCTCTCATTCTTGAGATATTGTAAATCCCATGTTCTAATCTGCATAATCATTTAAAATAAATGGCATCAAAGAGTGTTTACATGAACATTTAATTCACTTAGAATAGGTAATAATATATCTTGGCAAGTGGGGACAGTTAACAAACCCACGCACTTTTCTAAGAGAGTCTGCATCTTCTTAAGGGCTGGACCACACAGCTGCCGAGGATCATCGCGGAAAGACGAAGCCTCAGATACTAACTTCTTCAGATCACAATACCCAAACGCAGCCTCACGCAAAGCATCAGCCTTCTGCTCTGGCCAATCGAAGTGTTTCAGCACTGCCCTTTCATCCACCTGAAACAACAAACAAAACCAGACAAATCACATAAACGATATAAAATATTTTATAACAAGTTTGATTGGTTGAAGAAACACAAATAACATAAAAAAAGTAAGAGTACCAAATAGGAGAGTTCGTCGTCAAGCCATTTGACAAAAGGCACTACATCTTCAATGTCCGTGAATGCTGCGCTCTCCACCTCTTTGATCAAGTATCTAATAAAGTCTCCTTGAGTTTCTACATCTGTTTTTATCTGTAAAAACAAACAATATTATTGACCAGAGATCAGACAGTATCAGAAATTGGGTTAAAAATAGATCCTTTATCGACGCTAAGTAGTTTAATATTACTAAGAGCACAACAAAATAAAGTAATTTCTTGACTTAATTGACTATAAGGGACACTAGGGTTTCAGTAAATGGAGAATCTTTTCTTCTTTGTTTGACTCGGAGCTCAACAAAATGCCATAATTTTAGACCATATTTACGACTATGGCCAACCAAATTCAAATCAGATTACTGTCTTATCTACGAAGAAATTCAATTCAAAATAAAGCATAAAAGCGACTACACATGTCAGCAGACAGTGATATAATAAATGGCCAGTGGCAAACCCGTAATTACACCGCCAAATTCACGTGCACTTACCGCCAACAAGTGAGTCGAACGGTTCTCGATCTCGCCGATCATGTCGCGAGGATTCGCCGTCGCCAACGCCTCTGCCGCACCGCCGGACCCCGAGTCTCGCCGCGAATGCGAGTCCCTCCTCATCAACGAGTGGTAAAACTCCACCACCTCCGGCACTCTCCTCACCTTCGCCGAAGCCACCCTCCCCGCCTTCGCCGGAGGAGGTGGCGGTGGCGGCGGAGGAGCTGCCTTAGATGTAGGCTTCCTTGGAGCAGGAGGTGGAGGTGGAGGTGGAGGAGGCGCTGCCTTAATCGACGGAGGAGGCGCTGCCTTCATCGGTGGAGGAGGAGGTGGTGGCGGTGGTGGAATGGCTTGATCAGTTTCGCCGTCATTGGAGGAACCACTGGACGGAGACGAAGGAGAAGAAGACGAAGGTCTCGGTGGTGGGTTCGGAACACGAGGCGCGCGTGACCTCACAGAAGTCGAGAGAACTGAGTCAGAGCAATCAGCGAGTTCCTCCGAGTTACACCGCGAGTGACGTGGCCTTTCTGTTTCTGCAACCTCTCTTTTCAAAATCCCACTTCCGAGATCCGACGCCGTTTTCTTCAAGCTTTTCATGAGATTCGACCTCACCGAAACCTCCACTATCCTCTGCGAAGCTTCGTGCTCGTGCACGTGATTTTCCAATGCCTCCGTTCTGTTACTGCTACAATCACTGTACGATGCCATTTTTTTCACCTCCGCTATCTCATCTTCCAGAACCTTAAGTTTCCTCTCGTTCTCTCTCTTCTCATCTTCCGCTCGAACCTTCAGCTCCTGCAACTCCTTCTTCAACCTCTCGTTCTCCGCTTCCATTTCTTCCGCTCTTCTTCTGTTCCTTTCGATTTCAGTTTCCCTCGCGCTGATCTCGCTCTCCAGAACGGGGACAATGGCAATGGACTCCTTCAGCAGCTTGTGCTCCAGCAGCTCCGTCTTCAGCCGCGACTCGCTCTCCCGGAGCTCCTCCACCAAACGAAGCAGCTCCGCCACGTCGGGCGGTCGCGGCTGCACCTGAGCGGAGGAGCGCGGGAAGTACGCGCCGAATGAGCGACTGAACGGGGACTTGTGAGATGAGGACTTCGCCGTGGACGGCGACGGAGGGGGCTGCTTCTTCTGCGGCGGAGGAGTGCACGTGGCCACCGCCGGTGACTTCGGGAACCCCATTGCTACTCTGACCTTGCCGGCAACCATGAGTCTAAGATTTTATTTATTTATTTATTTTCAGTTTTTAAGATTGAAACTCACAAGAGTTTTAAACATGACAAAGACGACGTCGTTGTCTGTGCGTAGATTGACAGAGAAAGAAGAGGAGGAGGGAACGGGTTGATGTTGGAGAGGGGGAAGAGAGAAACTGACGGCACACTTATCGATGAACGGTCTTCTCTACTGGGATGCTTTTTGAGGAAAAGGGGGCATATAAAATATATTAAGAAAGCAATTTTAAATTTTATTAAAGTTTGAAAAAAATTAATAATAAGGTTGTCCAAGTGCATCAGTGTCTAGGGCATTTATTTTGGTTGAGTTTAGTTTTAAGGGAAGTGAGTTGGGAACGGTCGTCTAACGGTTGGTTTTGTGAATTTTGGTTTGGTGCGTTTAATTTTATGTTTTTGAATGACGTTGGTATCGGTTTGATCTTAAAGGAGTTTGGAAGTGAGTAAGGTTTATTTCGTGATATTTTGAGGAGTTATCGCGGTTTGTTGTGTTTGGTCGTTTGTTTGCCGTTGGCGTTGTTCAATTCAAAAAGCATGATGGCTGACCTGCTGGGAGATGGGATGGAGAAATTAGACAAGACCTATTATCACACAAAAAGCATTTAATGTTGATTTTTAGTTAAGTTGAAATATTTAAATAACTAAATATACATAACTAATGCATTTATTTTTAAATATATATGATTTAAAATTGAATTATAATAAATATTATTTTTATTATTTTCGATAAATTCATTAATTTTTTTATCAGTATTCTTTTATTTAAAATTATTGATTATTTTCTATAAGAAATATAATTAATAAAAATAATTAATATAAACAGATATTTAAAAATATTATATAACTTTTTCATATTCTCTGTATAAATTAATTACTTATTCACTTCTATATCCTAGTTCTTACACCAACGATAGTTTTACGAATTTTATGGACCATCAGTTTTGTAAACACAACAATTAAATAAACATTAAATGGGTTTTAATTTAAATTTTGGATGTCTTAAATGCTATTTTAAATATTTTTACTTGGAAATTAACTCTATTGCTAAATTCATTAATGTAAGTATTTAATTTTTTGAATCTTATAACGGTTTGATTAACTTGTAATGTAATTAAATAAACATTAAATGGGTTTATATTTTAATTTTGGGTGTCTTGAGTATAATATAGAATATTAATTATTTTTTATTTTGTTAAGTTATTTATTCAATTTTTCTCTTTTAATTATTGTCATCATTTCTGATTTTAAAATATATGAAATTTAAAATTAGATTATATAGACGAAAATAAATATTAATTTTTATTATTTTTAATAAATTTGTTAATTTTAAAAAAATTAATATTTTTAATGTAAGATATTGTTAATAACTTATTATTTTTTATATAATAAATATAATTAAAAAGATAAAAATATAATTAATAAAGGAATAATTAATATAATCTTAAACTTTATAAATTATATAATTTAAAATTGTTAAATTATTTAAAATTTAAATAAAATAAATAAAAATAATAAGTTGTTTTTTTAAAGTGGAACAAAGAGTATTATTTATTGACTAAAAGAATCAATAATAAGAAAAATAAAGTCTTATACAAAAAATAAAAAAATTAAACACATTTTATATTTTGGAAAGAAAGGATTGTCATAAACAGCTAATAATAAGTATATTTTAAATTTTAAATTTAAACAATTTTCATTTATTAGAAAGTAAGAAGAAAAAAAGGAAATTACATAACACTTATTTGAGTTGCCAACAAAACAATAAAACTTATCTTCTGTTTATTTTCTTTTTATTTGAAAAGAAAAATCATAACAATGGATTTAACAATAGATAATTGCTCGAGAAGGAAAGGAAAGAGCTTGAATTACGATCTATGCAGTATAATTTTAGAATGAGTATGAGACAATTATGGTATTTAAAAAAAAAAAACAAATGTTCCAAAATGATTATTTATAAATAAATGCGTGTACACACGGCTTTGTACAAAAATAAGGGACAAACAAGTGTCTTAAGAAAATAATATGTTGAAAGAGGTAGAAGCCCTATAATTATTGGTTTTTCTGATATTTTAAGGATAGAAAGCACTCTTTCCAAAACATAAAACTTTCTTTGTAAAGATGCTAAGAAAGACATTAAAATAAAAAATAAAAATAAAAATAATTATTATAATTTTTAATAATTTTTTATTTCTTTATTATAAAATTATAAATAATATTAAAATAAATAAATTTATTAATAATAAATAAATTTGTTTCATGTTCTATTTAAAAAATAAATAATTTTGTTTTCTATATTATTTGATTTTGACTTTTTTTTCACTTTTCACCGTTACATTCAAACAAAACTTAGAATGAATAGTATTTTTATAATTTTTTTAAAATAGTATAAGAATGATAAAGTTAATTTATAATAATTTTTTATTAATTCATTCAGGTAGTTTTTAAAAGGTAAAATTGTAATCAAATTGAGTTTGAATTTTAATGTGGTGACCCAGTTTGAAAGTTTATGGGTTGAAAATTGTGTTAGGTAAAGAATTTATCTTAGTGTTAATTCAGAGAATTTTAATACTAGACGTACAAGTTTTTGTATAAAACTTTAAACTATTCTATAAATACTTATTATATTATGACATATATTTTAAAAAAAATTGTGATTGTGAGGGAATCATTAAGTTGTATATGTTATATGTGATAATTAATTTTAATAATAGTGTAATTTTAGAGGATTTTAGGTAAAAGAATGTGATAATTCTAATGAAATTTAACAAATTTACGTTAGTGAAAACACTGATAATTAGATAAGGAAAGTCATTCAGCAATTTATATACATCTTCGTCGTTTAATCTATTTTAGTCACAAAATTACTTATCTTTAAAATAAATAATATAATAAATGCGATTATTAACTTAATAAAGCAATATTAATAATTTCATGTCAAAATATTACAATGGTTTGTAAAAAAAATAATAATTAAGTTTTCTAATCTCTTGTCCCTTAATTAAGGTTTGTTTTAATAAATTCTAAAACTCACATTTAATGGCGGAGCTTTTTAGAGTTGAGAAAAGTAATGACTCAACAAATTTTATAACTTTAATATACGTTTATGGTTTTAAGTTTGAATTTAATAATTATTAAATATATCTTATTTTTATATAAAATTTTAGTTTTTCAATTTTTTTTTACCTTTTCTTATTTATTTATTATTTATTAATATATTTGACCTCCTAAAATCATTAGTTGCATTATTATAAATTTGATGAAATGATAAATTGTAAATACTCTTTTATTTTTTAAAATGAAAAAGTGACTTAAATATTGACTTTAGTATATTATCCCGGTTGAAACATATCAATTGAATGTTGATTAATTATAATTGAATGATTAATTGAATGTTGATTATCCCGGGTGACTTAAGCGAGTCTTAGAAGTAACAGGCCCATCAACAAGGATCAGGCACAAGTATAAATAGGAAATGAAAGCTTGATCAAAGAGGTACGTAAAAAATAATAATACAAATATTACCGATTAAGGTGTTTTTTTTTTTTTCAAGAAGTTAAAAAAAGTATGGAGAGGAAGTTCAAGATTAGGCACAATCCAGACATTGACATGCATACTTTGTCCATTAAAAAATTGCTAGGATTTGTGTGGATATGAATGTGGACAAATATTGTCTAATAAATCAACAACTTGAGCCAAGTGCAAAGAAATGTTATGGATGGATATTGATAGCAGGTAAGAATGAGTCATAAATATAGATATAAGACACATAAGATAATAAGCCAAAAAATTCAGATTTAAGAATTGTAATATGTGATGACATGGATTTTGATTAAGTGAATTGAAGTGCATTGCATGAGTTGAGGGAGTTTTCTTTATTACAAAGACAACAATATCTAGACACAATATGGATAAATAAAGAGTGGACATTAGTTAAGTGTCAAGACAAGTGATAAAACCTTTATGAAGAAAAATAAAATAAAACAAATTGGAAGACATTGTTTATAATTTTTTTTTGTGTTTGTCTTATAATAAATTTTTATTATTTATAAAAAATATCATTTTAATATATATATATATATATATATATATATATATTAATAAATAATACCATTATATACTACAAGAAAAAACAATTTTAACGACCCAAAAATTTGATCACAAATGTCAAAAAATAAGTTGTTAATCAGCTTAGCAACCGAAATGCGTCGTTGTAAAAAGCTAAGTCACTAATGTGTTAGCGACCAATTTTCATTTCAGTTGCTAAATCAGTAAGCAAAGTTAAAAAAACAGTGACCGATTTATATTGGTAGCTAATATATTAATTGAAATATTTAAATAATAATTTAATGCAAAAATAGCGACCAATAATTTCTGGTCGCTAAATCGATAACAAAGTTAAATTTACATTTTTTATTTGTTTACAAATCCTCTATTTATCTATCACAAATATCAAAAAATCAGTCGCTAATCGCTTAGCAACCGAAATGCGTCGTTGTAGAAGGCTAAGTCACTAATGTGTTAGCGACCGATTTTCATTTCAGATCGCTAAATCAATGACAAAGTTAAAAAAATAGCGACCGATTTATATTGGTAGCTAATATATTAATTAAATTATTTAAATAATAATTTAATGCAAAAATAACAACCAATAATTTCGGTCGCTAAATCGATACCAAAGTTAAATTTACATTTTTTATTTACTTACAAACCCTCTATTTATCTAGAGGCTTCCCTAGACTTATTCATTACATTTCTTAAGATCAGATTATTGTCAATGACAAGATTCAAAGTTAAATTTACATGACAAAATTTGAACCTAGTACTTTAGAGTTAGAGATCGATACTCCAACCACTAAGCTACTAGGATTTTTCAATAATAACTTACAAATAATTTATATTTATATACAAATAAATATATATCTGTATAAATATATAAATATAAAATCTATAAAT